TTCTTGCTGTGAATTTCAGGGAGCTTGTCTTGCATTAAATGCAGGGAGATGGTCCGAATGCCTGGCAGAAATTTGTGCATTCCATAATTTGCCTTCTCCAGCAGAAGATGAGAGGCTTCCTGTTGGCACTGGTAGCAATCCTGTAAGTTAAATTTATCAAAGTGGCACATTTTTGCATATATATATATATGTCTGCTAATGTCTTCTTGGATTCATAATTTAATTCTCTCTCTCTCTCTCTCTCTCTCTCTCTCTCTCTCTCTCTCTCTATTTTTTTAAGGGAAACAATGTTAAAGAATGAAATCTTTGTCCAATGCGCGGATGAGGAATCCATAATTGAATTACATGAAGTTAGAATAACATACGATCTGACAACAAGACTTAAGCAAACACAATCTGTACACTAAATTTAAACTTCATCTTCCAACAGCTAAAAAAAAAAATTCACATTAATGAAGAATAATGATAAGGTCATGAATACTATTGGATCTACTAGTCAACTAAGCTGTGGGAGGAGGTAGCATATAATTTAAAGGAAGGTTCAGGATTGGATCACTAGATCTAAACCAAGCATTCTCAAGTTTGAAGACGCTTAACCCCTTCAAGCAGTCAGTAATTTTGTACCTGTCATATGAGATAATACGACCAATGGCTAGTCATGTCCTGACAGAAGAAAGCAGTCAGCAGTAGGCCTCAGAGCATATTAGAGTAGCCATGGGAAACTAACCACAGGACTGGGGATATTTCCTATAAGCATTAATACGAATAATTTCACGAAAGTTACCACTAGGGTGGCCAGCTGAGGAGATCATAGATTATGATAGATGAGAAATCGTATTGAGGAAGGATCAAACTTTCTATTATTAAGTTTCTCGATTGATTAGAGTTGTAGTTAGTTTTTGAGTTCAGGTTCTGGGGTATTAAATGACAATGTATGTGATGAGTATTAGGGAAATAGATGATTCTGTCCAGCCTGGGTGGGCAGCTGAAGGGATCAGAGATTATGATAGATGAGAAATCATATTAAGGGAGCACCAAACTTTCTATGTTTAATTTTCTCGATTCATTAGAGTCACATGTTAGTTTTTGATTTCATATAGTTCTAGCCCTCTAGGGTATGAAAAAAAAATGTATGTGATGAGATTTGCTAAATAGATGATTGTGTCCAGCCTGAGAGTGGTATTCCATGAAGATTCTCCCCTTATTTCTCTTAATTATTTCCAACAGGTTTATCTCTTGAGCGACTGTGTAGTCAAAATTTTTGTTGAAGAAGGGCTGGAAACGTCAGTCTATGGTCTGGGCACAGAGGTACTATTTTTCTTTTAACTATTTTCTTGCAAGCATTTTTTATATACATCTAACATTTTAGTGCCCCATTGCAGCTAGAGTTTTACAATCTCCTATGCAAAGTCAATTCCCCTCTGAAAAATCACATGCCTGATGTTTTGGAAAGTGGGATCATTTATCTTGAGAATGGAGTTTACAGAATTGTACCATGGGATGGCAGCACGGTTCCTGATGTGATTGCCAGATGCAATCTTATTCCTGAGAAGTTCAATGCAGATGGTTGTCCTTTTGGTGTATGGAGTAAAAAACAATTTAATTACAGAAAGGCTGGGATGCCAATACATGAAACTGTCAGCTCACCTGAATGCTCAAGAATATGGCCATATCTTATAACAAAACGATGCAAAGGAAAAATATACGCAGAGTTGTAAGTGAATTTAGTGTATAAGTTCCTTCTTGTAGTTCAACTTCTATTTAGAGTATACACAGCACAGCTCTTTAATTGGCCTTGTCTTATTTCTAACTTTGCAGAAGAGATACCATATCATTGGAAGATGCGCTGAACTTAGCATCCTTTCTGGGAGAGCAGCTCCGTAACCTCCATCTCTTGCCCCGGCCACCTCTTAGTGTCTCAACTTTCTCAGATATTGAACCAGAAATAGATATGCCCTTATCTAATGATTGTATGGAGGCTGTTCCTGATAAATCAAAAATTCCAGCCGAATGGAATATTTTCATCAGAACTCTAATCAGGAAGAAGAAGGACGTCTCAAGCCGCTTGGTTAAATGGTATATTATCTAGTACTTCTGGATAATATACTACTCTGTACTTTATTTACGTACCTGTTTTGATATACTGCTCCATACATGAATGCTGTGATTATGATAGAGTTTGTTTCCGACAGTAGCATCTATACTAATATATAAAACCAAAGATCTCTTGCAACATAGTACAACATAGTAAACGAAAAAACGAGTATTAACTTTTGACCTTCCATGGAAGGTATCATGTGGTGAACTCAAAATGCGTATCAGAGAACTAGACCATTCTTGTTTACCCAAAAAAACAGAGAGAGAAAAAGTTATTTTTTGTAGAGGTGTCCTAATAGGTGTCAGATTGTTGTAGATGCTAGGTCTTGTCAATTATGTCATACTTTAACTAGAAGATTCTCATTTCATAGCTTTATTTAATCAGTTGTGATAGGTCTTGACTGTCATACGTCATTGTAGTAGATATAGTTGGTTTACCTTGATGGATAGTCCAGAAAAGGTTGACTGGCTGGATTCTCTCAAAATATTGGGATTTTTATTAGATATTCAAGGTGAAGGAATTGACTCTTGTTGTGATTATCAATAGCCTGAGTAAGCGTGTGGTGTTTCAATCATGTCTTTAACTTGTAGTTGAAAGTACTGTGCTAAAGCACATTGCATTTTTATGCATCGTACATCAAGAGTTATATTTCTTACACATGCCACACGTATTCTTGTTTCATGTTTGTGCTTTGTTTCATTGTGTGTATTTTTGGGCATTAGTGCTCCTGTGTATATGTTTGATGTCTTGAAATGTTGCAGAACTGGGTTTTACTTACTGAGAGATATTTTTCGAATCTATTGTTCTTCAGTACATGTAGTGGTGGTCAAATGTATTTATTTAGTGTAATCTGGGCTCCAGTATGTTTTAAACATGGTATGAGATTATCTTACAGGGACAGCTGTTAAGTATCTGAGTTTCAATATGCAGGGGAGATCCAATTTCTGCCACACTAATAGAGAAAGTCGATGAATACTTACCAGATGATTTGGCCAAGTTGCTTCACATATTTGAGGTTTCTTCCCTGTCTCACCATTTAATAAACATGTGAAGATCAATTTCAATTTTATAATAATTAATGTAGATCACAATCTTTCAAGACCATACATATGCTTGGTCTGATTTGACCATTTACGGTTTCAGGATGAAAATGGCTTAAACAAAGTGGGTAAACTTTGTTCCTGGATACACTCAGATATCATGGATGATAACATTCACATGGAACCGTGTGGTGCTAATTCCTGCTTGATTGAGAACACCAAAGACAATGGTCTGGTAACCAATGGTTCAGAAAATGGAAATGGCAACAGTGCAGGGACTGAGTCATGGCGTCCTAGCCACATTCTTGATTTCAGTGATCTTTCTATAGGTTGGTATTTAGTTATTGAATTAATTTTCCATGTGTTGTTTTATGCTTGTGTCATTGCATTAGTACTTCAATCATATGTTGATTTCTGTTATTAACTTTTCCATGGTTAATCTTTTTTTATGAGTTACAGTTTTGGAATTTGTATGTGTTTATTTTAGTTTTCCACTTTATTATTTACCTATGCGGAGATGCTGGTTAGTTTTACTATGTGCATAGTTATCCTTGTTTATAATCTTCAAATTATATATATTTGTAAAGTATCACACACTTAGTACACATCTTCAATTGGCTTTCTGATATGATGTTTAGGCTTGTATGTACTGTTTTCAAGTTGATTCTTTTATTTCTTTTGCAGGTGACCCCATTTTTGATATAATACCCATATACTTGGATATATTTAGAGGTGATACGCGTCTCCTTAAGCGGCTTTTAGAAAGCTATAAACTTCCTTTAGTGAGTGGAGAATCACAGAATAAGTCTGTTAAGGGTGGAGACGAGTTTGGACGGCTATCCTACCATGCGATGTAAGTAATAACCCTCGTATATGCTTGCTTATGCTGTTTTATCAATTTAGTTGGAAATATATCTTATAATGTTTTAGGCATTTTCTGTGGTATACTGTATACATCATTCGTGTGCTATTCAAACTATGAGAATAGTTACGCAAAGGGTATGCAATGCCTTGGATGTAAGGCCAAGGAAAATTACATTCTGAACAGATATACCCTTTGGTTTAAAAAGGAAAATTACATTCTGAACATTAGCAGTCAAATTTGCCAATCCAATGTTAATATTTTAAGTTCTTACATCCAATCTCTGTTCATGTTTCGTATCAGTATCGTCAGTTGGTCGTTGTTCTGTCAAGCTTGCATTGATGTTTATGTTTTATCTGCTTTGGTGCAAAATGTTGCCCAAACAATGACGGTGGTTGAATTTATTTTGAACTGGTTTCATTTGTGTAGGTGCTACTGTATTCTGCATGAAGAGAATGTGTTGGGAGCTATTTTTAGCGTCTGGAACGAACTCAAGACGGCAAAGACATGGGAAGAAGTTGAGCAAGTGGTGTGGGGAGAGTTGAATAATTACAAAGGTTTCCCTGGTTTATCTTCCACTTAGCATTGACTGTTGCTAATTTATTGTTTTATCACTTCATAAGGTCCAAATAATGCGTAAAATCATGATATCATGTAAGCAGAGGCCAATGTACCCCCATTTTTATATATGATCGAACCAAGTTTCATGTTTACTTTGTTATGTTCAACATGTGTTTTTCCCAATCTTTTTTTGTCAAATATGTATTGAGTATATCGTCTTCGCTGTGTGAGTTTTGGGACCAGCATTAGTGCAGTCAACTCCCGCTAAACCGAAGGTTAGTTGGTGTTATCTTTAACATGCTCGAGAAATCTTAGTTATAGGCTTATATGTGGATGCAAATTTCGTACATGGTTGAATTCACGAAATGTAGACTACAACCAAAAATACTATTAGCGTAATTGACGAACACCTGGAAAAATGGGAGGGCGTCCGCCAAAGGTTCTTCAATTCCTAAGTCAGAAAAGTCATTTGAGAAAAAAAGAGAACTAGAGAGAGCCTTGAATAATTAGTTTCCTATTCAACTTGGCTATTTGTAGACATGAACCCTAGCAAGCAGCTAGGAGGGGAGGTTGTAGGTCATATTAGGCAGACCGTAACGTCCATACTAGGCAGACTATAACGTTCTGCTAGTGATGGTGCAGACTAGTCTCTACAATCTTGCTAGCTAGTAGTCCTAAAGGTCTCTGTTGGTGTAAGAGCGCAGGCGCGTCGGACATCCAAAAGGATACTCTGAAGAGTTAGCTTCTTGCCACCATTAGGCTGAATATGGGCTGGTGGCTAGACATATCATGGGCCCCAAAGCACCTTTGAACACTGAAGGCCCAAAGGTCTAATTATCACAAGATAAACAGGTACCATGATCCCTCATAGAGGGCAGACAAATGCCATGTTCCCTGGAGTAGTTCAGGGTCTGTCTGCTCACAACGTCAAGAGTAAAACCATCATAGCGAGCATATGATCCATGTGTCCTCTTATTAGATGTGGTTAATATGTGTATCCACAAATACCCTCACATCTACTTGTATTTAAGTAGAAAACAAAAAGAGATGTACTTCCTATTTGCATAGGAATTTTCTTCCAAGACAAACTAGGTTTGCAAGCCTTAGTAGGAAAAGGTTTTCTTTTTATTTTCCCACAAGAATTTGGTATGTAGGAGATATACCTTACTTGAATTCTCACAAAATTCCTGACTTTAAATTCAGGCTTTGTGAGGAGAATTCAGAGAGAAAATCTCGGTATGAAATTTTTCCCTCTTTCTTCTTCCTTCCCCGATTTCATCATGCATTACCAGCTCAACAGGGGGCTGCCCTCTCGTACATCGCGACCCGGGCAACACGGATGTGTGCTACAGGGTGCACCAGGAGCTGCTGTTGGCTTTACCGAACTTGGGATGGAAACCGGACCCAATTGGGCATGTGCTGCTTGCTAGAGCGCGCAAGCGCGCGCGGGCGGGGGTTGCTGGTGCGGGTTGCCTGGAGCGGGTAGAGCCGGTCCAATTCGGGCCGGTTCAGCTGACTTTTCCATTTTTTTGTTTATATTTTTGAAAATTCCCCAGTTCTTTCGGTTCAATCCAACATCAGTCTATTTTCTGTTATAAATAGACAAAAGTTAGATAAATAACATTTGCTAAGGACAGGAGCTAAGTAGATGCAAAATATCACACGATAACTCCAACACAAAAGTATTGTTAAGGAGGTGAGAGATACTGATATTATTTCTCTTCCTTGCTTTCTTTTTGCAGTGTACATTTAGATAGCACACGGAGAGTTCTATTTATAAAGTAACTCCCGTAACTACAACCATCCAAATACAATAATGATACTTTGTAAGTATCAAACAATATTCCTAAGCCTTTATTTCTTTGAGTGGGCATTCACCCACTAATTCTACAACATTTTCAGCATTGATATCAACAAAAGCGATATCTGACTAAATTAAGGTGTTATGAGCATCTTCTGAGATTTTTTTCCCTTTCTTTGGGCAATAATTTAAACCAAATACTGTAATGTTTCGACATGTAGAGTTGATTTACAATCACGAAGAATAATGTGAAGCGGCAAGGAGAATCTGTGTACACGTTAGAAATCTAGTTGAGTATGGATTATACGGGCAAACAAAACTATCAATTAACAGAAATTAATTCGGGTGTAAAGCATTAGACTTTACCTTGAAACAGAAAAATAATACAAGATAAAAGAAAGTTTTAACAAAACACTACCAGTACTTTCACTTTTAACGAAAAAAACATTTTTACTTTAAAAACTACCACAATTCACTTGCAACACATTTTTACCCTTCTAATTAAAACTAAGTTTTCAAACTTTTTCATTAATTTTCCTAAGATAAAAAGGGAAAAATGCAGCCACAATTATTAACGACTTATAAAAAGCTCCAATATATTAATAAAACGGAAGTTCTCCTAGTGAAAATTCCAATTATCTCAGCAGCAACAGAGCAAAAACTTTAAACAGTCATCAAGTAGCACAAAAACCGGAAAACAATAACACACTAACATCCATCTTTCAACTTTAACAAAACTTAGATGACTCCACCACGGATTATGCTGCAATAGATGGCTTTGAAGCAGCAGAGAGCCTGGACCTCTTCTTGGCCAAGCTCTCACTTCGGCGATCCCTCTGCTCCTTCAATCTTGATGCAAGGAGTTTCTGGTACTCAGCAGCCTCAGACTTGGCCTTTGCAACCCTCTTCTTCTTGTCGGCAATTCTAGCTCTCTTTCTTTGCAGGGTCAATGGAGTGACCAGTCTCTGGATCTTGGGGGCCTTGCTGACCTCCTTACCTGCGGAACCAGATGGGATAACCAAGTTGAAAGAGCCACCAAACCAAACAAACTTCAAATGTAACACATTACAATACCAAAATTGCTTATGAATCCAACAGTCTAAAGGTACAAAATTTAAGCACCACCAGAGGACAGGAAAAGATATTAACTACACCTATGCCATATGTAGATTCTTATAATATGTAAGTCGGCAAACAATAATTTTCTAGCTAAGGATTCAAAGGCATTCTTTAGAGAATAGTTTCCTAAGATAAGGATACTGGCAGTTTGTCAAACTGTCAAACACATGAGATACAGTATAACAATGCATCAAAGTGTACAGTTTAAGAAGCCAAATCGCCCAAACATGAGCAAACAGAATGGCAACAACTAAGAAAGCTTACCCTTTTTGTTTGTGAATGTTCTACGGTATGTGTTGACATACTTGCGAACATCATCTTCTTTTGAGAGGTTAAAGAGTTTGCGGATCTTAGATGCCCTCTTGGGACCTCTCATCCTAGGCTTCTCAGTGTCGGTCAAACCAGGAAGGTCATTGTCACCCTTCTTCACAATGACCAAGTTCAAAACAGAAAGGTCGGGGCTGACAATGCACCCACGCACAGACTTCCTCCTCCTCTCACCATTTCTCCTTCCATAACCACGGAAGCAAGGAGTTCCTGACCAAATAAATTTACCAGGTTAGGAAAAATGAAGATAAGCTTCTGGGAAATTTATTCATGAATGGAACAGATACTGATATTAAGCATGAGTTTCTAACAACCTCTGTGGAGCAAGAGGCGAACACGTCCAGGGGTCAACACTCCCTGCTTCATGGGGAAACCTTGCTTGTCACAGCCTCCCATGATCTTGAAAACATAGCCCTTAAATTCCTGTTTCACAAATAATAGTCATTCAAAAAACTTGAAACCCAAATGAAGAAACACGAAAAAGACAGAAAACGTGCAAGTTGTATACCTCTCCAAGAGCATCTCCGCTGACCTCCTGGGAGATTCTCTTGTCAAAAAAGGCACGCCTACACAATAGCAGAAGCAAATAAAATCAAAACCTTTGCCCAATGAAATAACTAAACAACTGCTAATTTAAAATATACAAGCCAAAATCTAAGCAAACTGTTTCTGGGAAAGAATCGGAAATAAAATGCTAGCATTCAAATCAAAGTTTAAAATTTCAAACCCTAGCGTTCACAAAACTAAAAAATAAATTTCACAACAAATCTGAAATACAAGGCAAATATTCAAGACCAAATCTAAACAAAAAGCAACCCAATAATCCAATTTAACAAATGCAACAAATATCAGAAATGCAAAGCAAATATTCAAGGCGTTCAAGCTTGACACAAAACATACTCAAATCGGCGAAAACAGCGGTACAAAAAATTAAAATCATGGATAATATTGCATTAAAAAAAATCACATCATTTCAAGAAAACCCAGATGAAAAAAGGCGTTACAGTTTGTGGTCATCGTCGATTTCGAGCTTCTTCTGGCACCCAGTGGTGGGGTTGGCGATGTTGAACTGCACAGTAAACAGGGATTAGGAGTCAGCGAAAACGGAGAAGGAAGAAGGAGAGAGGAAAAGATGGGAATTGGGTGGGCGAGAGAAACCTTCATGTTTGGGTCTCAGATTGCAGAGGCAGCCGCGCAACTGAGAGAGAAGGAAGATCGGCGGAAACTATATTGCGCTCTCTCGCTTGCTCTAGGGTTTTGAGCGGCGAGTGATGGGCATTTTATACACTGGAGTTTTGTGTGGTTTGTGGGGTTTAATGCGGACGCTGTCGCAACTTTTGGGATGAAGGCCCAAACTTATGTAGCGGCTACTGGAAATTGGACTCAGCTCATTTGCATTACAAGCCCCATAAGCGATATTTAAAATTTTAGGGTTTTTTGTTTCACAACAATTTTTAAGGTTTTTATTTTTACCCAAAAAAAAAAAAAAACCAGAGAAGGATATTACTAGAACTGTATTTTTTTTTGGGGACAAGTTCATTTCATTATTTATTAGTGTCTTTTGAGCGAAGTCCTCTTTTGTGTTGTCGAGTGATAGTTGCAGATATCGTTGGATCTCGTGGACTTGTGATATTCTTGTGTAGTCTTTCCTTTCATTTCGGGTTTATCTCTCATTGTCAACAAAAAAAACATTATTAGTGTTTAAATATTCATGTGTAAACTACAAATAGAAATTTAGTACTCTCTATTGGATTAGGCTTATCGCTTATGCGCTTATTGTAATTAGAGAAGGACTCCTAAACTTTTAGATGGAGCACACAAGAAGTTAGGCTTATGCATTTTTATAAATTCACCAACTGAAAATATAGACATAAGGCATTACGCGAAACAAAAGAACACACAAGAAGTTCTATTATCCCTTTTCTCTTTCTCGTGTTTTTTATTTTTTTTTTGGTGTTAGCCACACATTCATTTATTTCTCACACATTCTTTTTTAATTTATATCATTTAATTTTGTTTTAATTCATTGAATTCAATAACTAAAATTTTAAAAAGTCGTGCAGAAGGTAGAAAGGGGTACTTAAATAGCACAACTTGTTTTTTCTCTCTAATTTTGCTCTACAACCAAACATGTTTTTAAAAGAATGTATATGTCTTGCACATTTGCTCTGCAATCGGATTGTACTCGTGGACATTCTCTTTAATTTTATTGCTCTTTCTATCAAAATAAATAGGGTAAATTACACAGAACTACCTCAACCATTAGGTCATTACCAGTTTCATACATCGTCTTTAAAAAGTTTCAATGTCATACCTCATCTATGAATTTGTTACAATTTCATACATTCCATCAGTTGTATGTCAATTCCTTCGTTAAATGCTGACGTGGCTTGAGGTGGGACCCACTTTCTATTACAAAATTAATTGAATATTACAAAATTTAAAAATTTAAAAAAAAAAAAAAAACCCAAAAAACCAAACCCAAAATCCCCTTCCCCCCGAAACCCCCCATTCCTTCCCATCTTCCCCCTCCCCCCCACCCCTCTTCTCCCTCCCGAGCCTCCACTCTCTTCACCTCCCCTCCCATTCAAAAAAAAGAAAAAAAAAACCAACCAGTTGAGGTGGTTCAACTTTGACCGGAAGGATGTGGTGGTTCGACTTCGATGGGAAGGAAGGGTTGGGTGGGGTGCGACGATATAGACAATCTAGGTTTAGATTTGTTTGTTTTTTTTTTTTTTTTTTTTTAGGTTTTGAATGGGAGAGGAGGTGAAAAGAGTGGAGGCTCAGGAGGGAGAAGAGGCGTGGGGGGGGCCCGGGGGGGGTGGGGTTCAGAGCTTGGAAGGAAGGTTTTGGTGGGCGGGGCGGGGGGAGGGCATCGACGGGGAAGATGGGAAGGGAATGAGGGGTTTCAGGGGGAAGGGGATCTGGGTTTGGTTTTTTTTTATTTTTTATTTTTTATAATTTTGTAATATTTAATTAATTTTTAATAGCAAGTGGGTCCCACCTCAAGTCACGTCAACATTTAACGAAGGAATTGATAGACAAATGACGGAATGTATGAAATTGTAACAAATTTGTAGATGGGGTATGATGTTGAAACTTTTTAAAGACAAGGTATGAAACTGTTAATGACCCAATAGTTGAGATAATTATGTGTAATTTACCCAAATAAATAAGGGATGTGCTATCCACACATCCCATTTTACTTCTCACACACCCTTGATAATTTCTATCCGTTGATCTTCTTCAATTCATCCGATCTGACGATTGAAAATTAAAAATATGTGTGAGAAGTAAAATAAGGTGTGTGAATATTACACCCCATAAATAAATATGGTAAGTGGGCCTAATTATATCAAACAATGTAACAGAAATTTGTTCCGTTTATTTATCATGTGGTGTTGGGATTGTCATTGACCCATCTGATAAGCCCCAAAAACCACATCACCATCACAGATTAAAATATTTATTGGAAAGTGACCGCTCTTTGATGGTTATCCTCTAACTTATCATCCATATTGTATCAATTTATTTTCAGCTCTATATTATCAATATTGTGAGGATTAGGTTTAGCCTTATAATAAAATAATAATGATGTGGTTATATTGTATCAATTTATTTTCAGCTCTATATTATCAATATTGTGAGGATTAGGCTTAGCCTCATAATAAACTAATAATGATGTAATTCAATTTCGTCTTTGGCGAACATCGAACATAAGACATTTCCCTTACAAGTGAAGAGAAGTATCATTAGATAATAATACTAAATGACACACGTATAGTGCACATTAGTGTTTGAGAGCACAACTATTTTTTTGTTGGTGTTTTTGTAAGATAGTTACTAAAAGCCAATTTCTATACATTTTTGTCTCCAAATCATATATGTATTTCACGATGTTGAATTAAATAAATTAAACGATATGCACGAGGAGAAAACGGTGTGCCGCTACCATGGACTAGTTGGTCTCAATATTTGCTCATAATATTTTGGGTTTTTATCACAAATGATTCCTAAAATTGAAAATCAATTAATGTAGTCCTGAAAATAAGTGTTGTAAATTAATGTGGTCATTCCGTCACAATTCTGTTAAAAATTTCATTAAGTATTGATGTGGCACATAAATATGTCTCACAAGATTTATGGGTTTTTATCACAAATGATCCCTGAAATTGACTTACCCCATCAAGATGATCCTTAAAATTGAGCTACACCATCAAGATGGTCCATAAAGTTGAAAATCGTTGAATGTAGTCCTTCAAAATAGGTGTCGCAAATCAATACAATCCTTCCGCTACAATTCTATAAAAAAATTTGTTATGTGCTGATGTGGGTGTAATAATTAATTTAAAAAGTGTCTAAATACCTTTTTGCATACTGAATTTTTTTTCTCTTATAGTAGGACCTACTCCGAAAAGAGATCTCTTCCATAAATTTTCAAAGGCACAAGGCTTAACCAAGACCTAAGAGAAGAGATGGTTTGGAAATAGTTTTCAACCAACAATAGACGCACCTCGGTTATAACCTTAAGTCACCAGACCACCAGGGAAGCGTTAAACAAGCTCTTCAAGATTAAGGTTGTGAGGATGTTGATCACATAAATGTTAACGGTGATGTCCTAGAAGTCGTTGCCAATCAATCAAGTCGTCACCAAAGGTGATCACGATCTAGGTTCAATTTGATGAAGGGTGTCGAATTGTGTAAAGATGCGTGTATTGAGATTTTGTTTAGAGAATAAACGACAAAGGAGGTAGAGGAATGTGGACTGGGATCAGAGATGATTGCAAGATTGGGTTTTTGGGTTCACAACTTTTTATTAATTATTAAATTATTAAACTTATTTGTAATTTTTTAATTTAATTAGACTTGTGTTTGATCCATTTATGTGTCACATTAGCACATAACGAAAATTTTGACAGTGTGACAAAATGCTACATTGATTTGGGACACTTACTTGCGAGACTACATTAATCGATTTTCAATTTCAGGGACTATTTTGATATCACAAGTCAATTTCAATGATCATTTTGATGTCGCGGGTTAAATTCAAAGACCATTTGTGAGGAAAAAAAGGCTTATGAGAACCATTTATGTGCCACATCAGCATTTAACAAATTTTTTAACAGAATTGTAACGGAATGACTACATTGATTTATGACACCTATTTTCAGGCACTTCATTTATTGGTTTTTAATTTCAATGATCATCTTGATGGTGATGATCAATTTCAAAAATCATTTATGATAAAAACTCTAATATTTTTGCACATTCATATATTTTAATCCTTCAAAAAACAACTATTTCATTACACATTTGACCATGTGAAGGTTAAGGCTCTGCAAGAACAGAAAGAAAATGTTCCAACGAACACATTGCACAAAGCAATAAGCAAAAAATATGTTCCAACGAGCACATTGCACAAAACAATGAGCAAAAAAATATGTTCCACCTTACTAGAATCCAACCAAAAAGGACGAGGAGTTGTGAACTGAAACCGGAGTCGCTCGAAGATCAATCGACCTTGTTCATCCAAGGGGTTCAAATGGGGGAACCCTAGAACCGAAGGGGTATTCAGTCGCTAGGTTTCTCAAGGATTCTCGCATTCGAGTTAAACTCATCTAGTTCAAACAGACTCTATACAATAATTTTCCAATTTAGGGTAGTAATTTGTGTTAGCAAGTTCTGTTCTCATCAAACTTGTTTAATTAATCTGTGTCAGATGACCCGATAACAATCAAACTCGTTGCACAGTCAAATCATGTTCAAAGAAATCGTGACAAAATATAACAGCAAGTCATCTGCAACAAGTACAACATATCTGATGAACCATATCATACAGCTGGGTTTGCCTTCAAAAACTCTTAGGTACCTACTGCTGCTAGGTAAGAAACAGAGTAACAGATGGGGGATTGGTGTCAATTTTGCACATAATACTTTCGTACATATCAATTCACAAATCAAACCTATACAAAAGCAACATACAATCTTCAGCCAAGAAGCAGTAAGCATTTAAAACAAAGGAATAACTTTTTTCTTAAGTGCTTATGCAATAGAACTTCTAGATCATGCTAACCAAATTCTAGCTTCTGAAAAATACCTAAAAGATAAGCAATTAACAACCACAGAGTTCATCAAACCTTACCATCCTACCCAGAAAATAAAAAATAAAAAAACCTACACACCAAATCTTATTATTTGACCTAATGATTGGGGCCTAAAAGCGCCAGAAGAAACGCCCTGTAATGCCCAGAAGTCTCCGAATGAACCGCATCATTCAACGTCTTCCCGTACTTCTTCAAATACTCCGCCTTTATAAACTGCATATCGATTTCGGCCCTCGAAACGATCACCCTCAGGAGAGTACTGTCGTCTGTCCCCAGACCCTTCATCGCCCGGTGCAAAACCTTCGCAAAGTACCTCCCGGGATGCTCCGCGCACTGCAAGATAGTCAGAAGTGCGTGCTCAAAGTACCCAGATGTCTCCTTCTTCACCGCCTTCTTCAGCGAGCTACCGTACATGTTGTGGTAGGCGGCGCTCACGGTGGCCAAGTGGGCGCTGCTCCGCCCGCTGAATATCTGCACAAACACCTTCTCATCAGTTCCCAGTCTCTTCTCCCCGGCGCGGAAGAGAGCTTTAGCGTCATGCTCCGCCGCCGCCCTGTCGACCTCCAAACCCTCGTACCGCGGCGTCGCCACATAAGCGAGGAGGAGCTTTTTGTGGTCCCCGGAGGTGTGAAGCTCGATGTCTTGCTCGAGGTAAACCCCGAAGGCGGAGAAGTAGATGTTCTTGAAGTGGAGGATCTGAGATGGGGTTCTGGAGCAGATGACTTCGGTGGCGGCTCTGAGATCCACGATGCCGCCTCCGGCCAGAGCCTGGCGGATGATGGTGGCGTCGCGGGTTGGGGGGTCGTGCATCCAGAGGAGGACGGACTTCTTAGTGTTGCCGCTGAGCTCGGAGGAGAGGCGCTTGGCGAGGTCTCGTGGTACATGGTTTTGTACTCCTGTTTGAGGTAGGCTCGCTGGGTGGCGTCGCGGTGGGCGAGGATGTTGATGACGGCGGATGTGTCGCAGCCCAACCCTTTGAAGGCGCGGTGGAGGCTGATTGCGTCGTCCCTGGGGGTGGTTAGCACCGGCGGTATGGTCACAGAGGCCATGGATTTTGTTTCTGCAACTAGAATTGATGAATTTTGAGACCCAGTTTTAAAGTTTATGAATTGTGGGATTAAATTGGAAAATATTGAGATAATATCAAGAGGTGATCCACCAAATAAAGGAACAAATTTAATCTGAGAAGGAAAGGGAAAGGGAGGTCAACATACATAAACTTTAATGTACAGGTCATGCCGTACCAACTTTTAGGTAGCATTCAATGCAAATTACGTTTAAAATTCATCATACGCGGTGTACTAGTTTAACGTTCAGTTTAATCATGTTTGCAATTCGTTACACGCATGCGCGTACAATCGATTAACTTGAACCATAACAGTGAGCATACATATTTTTTTAAAAGGGAATTTTAACAACAAAAAAAAAAATTCTGTTACTGTTTATTTTAACAAAAAAAAAACTTTTTTACATTAAAGAGTTAATTCTGATACTATTTATCTTACCCTTTATTTTATCCTTATTGTTAAAACTCAAAGTTTTCAAATTATTTTCATTAATTTTCCCTTTTTAAAATCTATTAGGACAGCGGATTTGATAGCGCTTTTTATATCATAAGCATAAAATTCTAAAAAATTTATTAATCTATATATTCTCATTGTGAGAAGGTTTTTGACTAAAATATGTCATACATGTCTTAAAGAGCAAGGTAAACAAATAGTTCAAATTTTTCTGAAAAGACAAGAAATTCAAATTCAAATTGAATTGAACTAATAAATAAAAGCAGATAAAACCAGTTTTCTCACCGCTTCGTATGAATTGAATTATGTTGCTGGTTCAAATTTGTCCCTATTCATTAAGATTGTTCTATATAAAAGGTTGCTACTTTTTTTGAGGCATGCAATTGGCGTTTGTAGAGGAAGGGCCACATCAATAATTGCATTAGCTGTATAAAAAGACCTTGTCAGTTTCAACCTTCTTTTTTTGGGTCAAGAAAGCTTCAACTTGTTGACGATGCTAAGATTGGGGTCTCTTAATAATTGAAGACGCACTAGAAATCTCCTAATTCATTTACCCGAAAAAAGTTTTAAATAGTAAATGTATTGAGTATACATATACGATAGTCAAGTCCCTAATTTTGGTCATTGGTTAAAACTAAATCCACATGCATATATGCTTATGACATCGGTGATAGTAAACATTTATCCTCAAATGTCAAAGTTAGTTCGAATCTCCTTCCATATTCTTTGAACAAAATAAATAGATAGAAACATTACACTACTAATATAAATAAACGTCATGCAATATGTAGAGTAAAAAATAATTAAGAAAATTATGGAGGTGGTACTGTGAACTTTTGGATAAAAATGACAAAATTACCTTCGAGGTATATCGGGATTCTCATGCGCATGCAACAAACAATAACAGCTCAATCAAGGAAAGTCAAAGGTGATCAAAATGATATTTATTCAAATCTCTCGCATAACTCCTCATTAAATCCTTATTCAAAAGGTAACTCCTAATTTTCCTATTTAAATTAACAATAATTACCATGTTAATTGCAATATATTATTTCACATAATATCTTGTAATTATTCACAAAAATTCACCATATATGGCCGGCCTTTATTCTCCAAACAGGGCCGATCACACCCCTATAAATAGCCATATTTTCTCACTAAAAAGCTAATCCATTTTTGATACCCACAAACTCCAAAACACATTCTTTTCAGAATTCTAACTTTGGCATCAGAGATTTTTTGGCCAAAGCCCCCCCATTCATCATGGGCACGTGAGGCTTTTGACCTTAATCTTAGATGTTATTATTTTGCAGCTGCATTTTCATCCAAGAAGAAGATGGCGGAAATTTGCATCCACAAATTGATGTTTTCATTGAGAGTTTGATTCACATGCTCAAAGAAGACTCTCGCATTCAAAGTTTCTCGTTTCTCGTTCATTTGTAGATTTTTCGTACGTTCTTATTCCTAGAATTTTTTATAAAGTTATTTGAATAAATGTAAAAGAAAAGTACAATGACTAGAAATACAGAAACCACAACGAACAAAACTTCCTACGTTCAAGGATTTGGACCAAGTGATGGAGATCAAGGCATAGCCCCACCACGACGATCCACGAGGCTCAACATGACAACGAATGGAGCAGCACCACCCCCATAAGGCACCACCGTGGCTATGCCAATGGCAGCCACCGTGGTAGCTCACAGCGAGACCAAAGCCCATGGTGAAAGCATTAACTTGCAGCTGCAAGCCCAAACACATGCTACCTTATAGCAACAAGCCCAGGCCCCCGCCACAAAGGAGCCCAGCATGGCTGAGCCCAAGCTACAGCCGTAATTGCCAAGGTCGCACCGAGGGGAGCCCAACGCCCACACACTCCAGCAGCCTAGCTCGCGCCCACAATCCGACCCATGCTAATGACCCGACCCACTCCCGCAGTCCAACCCAAAGTCCGGCCCATTCTTGTGGCCTTTCTAGCAGCCCAAAACCTGTTTAAAATTGGTTCAACCTTCCCGACTTCAGATTTCTGAATCGACGATTGAACCGAGGGTATTTTCACCCCATTTTTCCACATATTGACAAGTCATAGAGTTGACAAGCACCCTCGCGTAGCAAACGACCTTGATGAATTAGCTCTTATAGCGTACCGAGATTCAGCGTGTCCCAGACGATGTGTCCTGAAGTAGGATAAGGGCAAACGATGAATCTATCTAGCAATGTCCTAGCAAGCAGCCACTCGACCAATCACGAACCAAGCCTTCTGTTAATGTACACTCTTGACTAGGCCCCCGAGATAGATTATACTCTCGTCTTAGCATGCAGGATGAGCGTGCACTCTTGGTTAGGCCCACAAACGAGCATACATTCACGATTAGGGCCACATTCCGATAATCAACATAAGCAACCTTTCAAGTGAATGGTTCATGCATGGCTAAGCTTACAAGAGCATCATCCACCTCACATCGGAGTAGGTAGCACGATGGACGGAGATAAGCAGTCACTACAATTTGATCCAAGTTCAACTAGCAGCCTGCGAGAAACTCGCTCGCCAACTAGGAACATACCACATGCACCAGCATAGACAACCTGAACACATGGAAAAGCAGCTTTAGACCAGTATGTCACAACCAAGGGCAATCAATAACTCCGCTACCCCCCAACAAAGGTAAATTTAGGACGAAGTAGAGAGGCTCCTGATTGAGAGATTGTACGATTTGCAACGCAACGAGGTCACTGACGAGGCACTATGACATGACATGACCAACATAAGCAGGCCATCCTTCACAAACAAGATCGAGCAAGTATAGCCTCCACACAAGTTCAACATGTCGTATTTCACATCATTCAAATGGGGTGGAGACCTAAATAGACATTTAAAGCACTATCAAAGTGTAATGATCCTCTATCGAAACAGCAATGCTCTCATGTGCAAGATATTCGCCATCACTTTACAAGGCAAGGCGGAAGATTGGTTCCACACCCTGCTGCCATAATCCATCCGGAGTTTTGACAAACTTTCTTTGGTTTCCACCAAAGAATATTCATCTTATTGCTCTATTAAGAAAAAGTCCGATCACTTGTTCAATATAAAAAAAAACCCAAAAGAGTCACTCCGCAACTATGTGAAAAGGTTCAAAGCAGAGAAGGCAAAGATAGTCGAATGTAACGACTCGATAGCTAGTGCATTCTTCCAAAAAAGACTCCCAGTAGACCATCCGTTGTTCGGAGAATTGATCATGAAAGAAGATCTAACTCTGATAGAATCTTTCACTCTGGTAGAGAAGCATGCACTTTGGGACAAGGCTCAGCGAGCAAACAAAGCACCCGAGCAACCTCGAAAAGAATTTACAGTAGCTTAACAAAAAGAAGATTAGAAGCAGTACAACAACAAAAGTAAGCAAGAGGCCAAGCGCAGAGACCAAGTACTACGTATTCCATTGAAGTCCCGGTCACATAACTGATGATTGCTACACTTGGAAAAACAACCTAAAGAAGCTGGTGAAAGAAGGCAAGGTCGACAGATACTTGGACAAGCCAGCAATAGTCAATGACATCTTCGCCGAATCCGAGCACTTAGGGACCACCAACAACTCTAAGAAAAAGAAGATCTAACAGACTCTACTACTCTCATAGGTCCAGGCAGTCAATGCCCAACCTAGACCTATCATTGGTTTCATCGAGTAGGATGTTGAAGGCGTCGACTGACCACACGACGACGCACTAGTGGAATCTATCTAACTAGCCCACGCTATAGTCAACAGAATGATGGTTGACAATGGAAGTGCGGCTAACCTACTTCAGCTCTCAGTAATTCACAAAATGGGCCTGGAAAGAACAATCATACGCCGAGCGGAGGTACTCACTGGATTCAACGGATATACCTCGATTGTCATTAGCAACATTACACTTGACATGAGAACATTCCAGCTATCTCAAAGTAGATGTTCACGATGGTAAGCGACCCGTCTCCCTTTAATGGGATTCTAGGGCGACTTTGGCTTATAAAGTTGGACGCTGTAACCTTCTTCAAGTATCAAAAACTCTGATTCCATATTCCGAAAAAAGGAATCGGAGAAATTAAGTTTGACCAGGCCACATCTCGACGATGCACTGTGCAAGTACTGAAGGAGTAAAAAAAAAGACATTTACCCTCACAAAGGCTACCGAGGTCCAAAGGGACGAAGCTACCAAATAGCAACTACAGCAACCAGATCAAGAAGATGGTGTCCAAATCAATGCATTAGTATACGAGACGGGATGGAAACCTGAAGAAGAGGCCGAACACATCATTCTTGATCCCCTGCAGCCATAGAAGACTACTAGAATTGACTCAGGTCTGAGCCCAAACATCTACTTGGCAGTCTTAAAAGTAGCTGTAAGCTCTACCCTCATATGAGAAGAGTTGGGGGCCCAACTGTTGGTATTCTACACTTTTAAAGCTCTTCTAAATGTGAAAACCAAATATCTAAAGATCGAGAAATTAATTTTGTTGCTAGTTTTTGCAGCTCGAAAGCTCATACCATATTTTCAAGCTCATACATTTATCG